GAGGGGTTTAGATTTATTAGGAACTGGGGACACTTTTGGGAGAGGGGGAGCCTATACAGGAAGGATGGGCTCCACCTAAACCAGGGTGGAACCAGACTGCTGGCACTAAACATTAAAAAGGCCATAGAGCAGTTTTTAAACTAAGATGGGGGGGAAAGCCGATTGGTGTGGAGATGCACATAAATCAGAAGGAGACTTCTCTTAGAGGAGAATCCATTGATAGAGATTCTCTAAGCTGTAACTGCTGGCACTAAACATTAATAAGGCTGTAGAGCAGTTTTTAAACTAAGAGATGGGGGAAAGCCGATTGGTGCGGAGATGCACGTAAATCGGAGAGAGACTTCTCTTAGAGGAGAATCCGTTGATAGAGATTCTCTAAGCTGTAGTCAGAAAGAGAGGAAAGGAGAGGGCAAACCATGGGCCAGAGCAGACAAACAACCACGTACAAAGGAATCAATGCATCAGGAAAGGGCAGATAAATAAGCAGTAGCAAATTTTTAAAGTGCTTTTGTACACAAATGCTAGGAGTCTGACTAATAAGATGGGTGAACTAGAGTACCTCGTATTAAATGAGGAGATTGACATAATAGGCATCACTGAAACCTGGTGGAATGAGGAAAATCTGCGGGACGCAATCATCCTGGGATATAAAATATATAAAGAGGATACAGCAGGCCGGGTGGGTGGCGGAGTGGCACTGTATGTGAAAGATAATGTAGAATCAAATGAAATAAAAATATTAAGTGAATCAACATGTTCAATAGAATCACTATGGATAGTAATTCCATGCTCCAATAAGAAATTAGCAGTAGGGATATATCCCTTAGTCTGAACTAACGGCCCGTGGCTACACGCGGTAGTCAAACATTAACTTGAACTAAGTCCTTAGTGTGAGTTAACTGTTACACCTCATGGAATGAGGTGTAACAGTTAATTTGAACTAAGGACTTAGTTCGAGTTAACATTTGACTACCGCGTGTAGCCGCGGGCAGTTAGTTCGGACTAAAGGGATTTAAAAATGGCACCCGGATGGGAAGATGAAAATAAAGCCCGGGATATTTAAATCCCAGGCTTCATTTGCAACTTCGCATGCCTGCATTAGCCTCCCTAGTTCGAACTAGGTGGCTAGTGTAGACATACCCATCTGCTCTGAGTTGTACCTCCTTGCAGGCTGCTCATCAGAGAGGGTATCACTCCCTTGCATACAGGATGCACATAGAGGGGAAGTGGCACTGCAGATCCTTCTGATAGATGGGACCGGGAGGTAGCCTAAGCCAGTAGGCCATCTTTCCCTCTGCAGGACTATGAGGAGCTGAGCTGTGAGTTTACTCCCCTTTCCCTTTAACTGTCTGAGAATGGCAGTGCTTTGCACACAACTCTGTGTCCTGCAGCCTGAAAAGCTCTCCTGTCATTGGCACTGAGCAAAGCAAGTGGGGTCCTAGTCAGAATCAAGTAATCTATTGGGTTGGGTCCCAGGACTGGAATAGCTGCAGGGAGGAAGGGCTGTAGGTCAGGACTGAGACCTTCCCACATGGCTGTGCCAGAGCGAGGACTGGAGCAGGAAATGGCAGAACAGGGGCACGCTGTGGGTCAGGACTGAGGCACATTAATGTGTGTGAATTCCGAAGGATGGGATAGTAGATGGTTTGAGCCAGTGTTAATATGCCCTGATGGTGAGCACAAGAGAAAACCCTGAGAGAAGGTGCTCAGAAACCAGCCTGCCCACTAGAGGAAAAGAGTGAGCTGTGGAGAAACCTCTCCAGGGGTTATAAGCCACAGAGACTGGGAAACCAGGCAGAGGTGATTCAGATCCCTTGTTTATACTGAGCTAATGGAGCCTGTATAGCACAGGGACTGCAGCTATATTCTGTGCAGCTTGGTATCAAGCTCCAGAAACAAGATCTGGCAATCTGTGAGCAGGCTGCTGTGCTGTCCATGTGTCCAGGGGAGTTTGGACATAGTCCCAGGTTGGGAAGCCCTTAGGCTCTGGCAACAAAGGTTATTTTTCAGATTAGGCTCCCTGAGATGTGAATATACTGTAATTATGCAGATGATGAACAAGGGAGGCAATGGGACTGGGTGTGGGCTCTGGGTGGTGTTGAAAGGCAAGCTTCCCCCCTCTGCCCTTTGATAACTATAACCCTATGTGCTAATTAGCACCTTGAGAAGCCAGCTGGCTGAACCAAATTATAATCCTTCAGGCACTGAGAGGGTGGAAGAGCCATGGAAATTAGGAAGCCCTTGCACCACATCTTCTGTTCCTGACACAATCAGGAGAGAAATCCCTGAGGGAGAACAGAGGGGGCAAGGTCAGGGGAGAGGGAGAAAGAGTCCTAGAGTGTAATGGAGGAGAGGGACAGAAAAGGACAAGTGTTGTCTCCTCTCATTCTAAAATCATGAGTGGTGTGGAGAGGGCCGATAAAGAAAAGTTATTTATTAGTTCCCTAAATAGAACTAGAGGACACCAAATTAAATTAATGGGGAGCAGGTTTAAAGCTAATAAAAGAAAGTTCTTCACACAGGCTACGTCTACACTGGCCCCTTTTCCGGAAGGGGCATGTAAATTTCATGAGTCGTAGTAGGGAAATGCGCGGGGGATTTAAATATCCCCCGCGGCATTTAAATAAAAATGTCCGCCGCTTTTTTCCGGCTTTTAAAAAAGCCGGAAAAGAGCGTCTACGCTGGCCCCGATCCTCCGGAAAAAGCGCCCTTTTCCGGAGGCTCTTATTCCTTCAAATTATTTGAATACTTCAAAGTAGGAATAAGAGCCTCCGGAAAAGGGCGCTTTTTCCGGAGGATCGGGGCCAGCGTAGACGCTCTTTTCCGGCTTTTTTAAAAGCCGGAAAAAAGCGGCGGACATTTTTATTTAAATGCCGCGGGGGATATTTAAATCCCCCGCGCATTTCCCTACTACGACTCATGAAATTTACATGCCCCTTCCGGAAAAGGGGCCAGTGTAGACGAGCCCACAGCGTGTAGTCAACCTGTGGAACTCCTTGCCAGAGGAGGCTGTGAAGGCTAGGACTATAACAGAGTTTAAAGAGAAGCTAGATAATTTCATGGAGGTTAGGTCCATAAAAGGCCAGGGGATAAAATGGTGTCCTTGACCTCTGTTTGTCAGAGGCTGGAGAGGGATGGCAGGAGACAAATCGCTTGATCATTGTCTTCGGTCCACCCTCCCTGGGGCACCTGGTGCTGGCCACTGTTGACAGACAGGATACTGGGCTAGATGGACCTTTGGTCTGACCCAGAACGGCCATTCTTATGTTATGTTCTTAGATTTCTATGATGGATCACAACTGATGTGCAATGGTTAGTGTAGAAAGGAAAAGGGCATTTATCAGTCCTGTTGCTTTATAAATGTAGCACAATTTCAATTCCCCTGATGTTAATAAATGGACAAATGATTGCACAGAAACATATCCTCTGTATTGTAAATGAATAGAACACTGTCTCCGGGGGCTTTCAGTAGGTACATGCAGAAAAGTGGACAGTATGACACCAGTCTTGAGCACTCTGGTATGGCACCGACCCAGACACTTGTCTGCAGTCCACTTAAGTGGCTTCCACTGCTGGCTTGTTGCCTAGATCACTTCCAAGAAGTGCCTGCAGAAGGGAAACCTAGGAACTAGGACTGGAGCTGGGGTACATGTAAGGTGCATAATACATTTTCCATCTATAAGAAGTATGTTTAAGGGGTGCACTCAGCATTCAGGCAATTCACACTTGCACACATTGCTTGCATTCCTTTCTTATGGGAAAGCATGTGACTAGTAGGGGAATCTAAGAGCTGACTGAAACCAACATGCTTTTATAGTGTGTCTTTGCAGGTAGTTTGGGTGCTGGTGCTAGATGAGGCAGTGCACATGGAAATCAACAAACCAGAGGGAAGCTCTCAGGAGCAGGAACCTGTCTTTGGGTGTTTGTGTGTTAGAATTAACTGGCCAGCCAGGCAACTAGGCTCACTGCCCCAGTTGAAACAGGCCCAGTGTTGATTCTGGGCAGATGGGACCTGAAAGATCAGGTTAAGATATGCAACTCCAACTACATAAAATACATAGCTAGAATCAGCATACCTTAAACTGAGCTTGATGCTGTCTTTACAGAGGGGAAAAAGCAAGGGTAGCAAACACTCCCATTGGCTTCCCTTACTCCTCATGTCTACCAGAAATACCAGTGCCAACTGGAGCTGCCCTCACCATCCAATTCAGCAGGTCTTACCTACCGTAGACCTGCTAAATCAAACATCAGATCAATCTCCTGCTCAGTAAATATAGACATGGCCTTTGAACCAAAACAATGACACCACGATGTAGAACTAGACCAGGGTACGTTGGACTACCCCATCCATCTGCACCCCAACATCCCAGACCATCGCTTCCATGGGCACACAGCCTTCCCCCAACCCAGAACCCTGCATGTGCACTATGAGCCTGAGGTGGTATAACAGCAGCAGTCTCTGGCAAGCAAGCTCTGAGCCACACCTACTTACCCCACCTCATGAGTGTGGGTGGGGACAGTAAAACCAACAAACATGCAAGCTTGAAACTCCCCTGCTGGCTAGTCCAGGCTCACACTGTTTCCTTTAAAAAAGCAGCTACTGAAGAGTGGTTCTGGGTGAAGAAGGCAGGACAGATCTTGCCCACTGCATCACCCTAGTGCCCTGAGGCACAGGGCACATGAAAAAGGTACATGGGAGAACCTACAATCTACATAGTAATTGGGCAGTCCAATAGGTTACTGCAAGAGCCAGCAAGGACCTTCAGAAATAGAGAAAGCATTGCACATCCATCATCTCTTGTTTATTTCCATAAGGTTTTCCTCACACATTTAAAAAAACATAACTCAAGAACAAGCACAGGCGTTCAGGGGACGCAACCCTCTCAGGTGTACTGGGCTCCAGTCACTGTTTTATTTTAAACAGGCTCAGAACATTACCAGCTCGAAAAACTTCACTTTGTGACCAAAAAAAAAAAAAGTACAAAACTCCTTTGCCTTGTTCCCAAAAATAGAAGTATAAATTCAAGGGGGAAATGGATTATTTTAAAGCCTTCACATGAACAAAAGATGCCTTTATTCTCTCTGCCCCCCAATATACAGATTTGCCAGGAGCACATCCACACCCAGGCTGTCTGGCTAGTTGTACCTGGATAGTAAGGGCCCTTGCAGATAACAAAATACCTGTTTTATAACCTAGTCTTGCCTTACCTGTGTGGAAAGAACCCTGTTACAACCAAATCCAAATCTTGTTATACTATGGTCCCTTCTACAGCAGATGCTGCTAGGCAAAGAAGCCCTTAAAAAGACTAAGCCAAAAAAATTATTTGCAGGCATTTCCATTTCAAATTTTCTCCCCCGATTTTGCTCCCCAAAGAGCATCACTGGTTTGGCTCAGAGCATGTCCCTTCAACGGCCTCTAATCTCAACTCATTCTTCTCCCCCCCTCCCACCACTTTAGCTCTAAAGTTATAGTGCATCAAGGATGTTGTCAATTTTGGTGACCAGCTCCTGGCGCTTGTTGGAATGCAGCTTCTCATTCTCAATGTACGTATCCTTCTTAAGCTTGCCGGCCACCAACCGCTCTGCCTCAACAGATGATTTCAGAACCAGCTCTTTCACGTGGCTGTCAAGCTTCTGAATTTCACTGACCTGGTGGGAGTTTAAAATAAAGGACTATTAAAGAGAATGAACATGCATGGTCCTATGACACTGCTACGTAGAAAAGCAGGTAGAGATGGGACCAAGGAAGGCACAGCACAGGCTATAGGGCAGCCGCTCCCACTGGCATCGCTATTAGTGAACAAGGCGTTTGGAAGGTTCCGCTGGGGGTGGGGGAAGGTGAAAGCAGCTAAATGTGCAGAACAGGTGAAAAGGAAACTTCAGTTCTTACTTTCAGTAAGAATGTTTAATGATACGTTAGAGGCTTAAATCTAGATCACCAGTAAAAATCCAACTCAGAAGCATGGCGACCATAAGAAGTTGTTAATGTGGTTACCAGTACGAAGTGAGTTTAGTGGGTCTCAGTCCTGTTCACAATGGGATCAGTACTCTCAGCACAAACTATTCCTGTAATCTCTCTCTATTTTTAGAGTAAGTCTGAGTCCAGCCATCTAACTGCAAGTCTGTTTAAGAACTCCTTGTAGATCAGGGGTCAGCAAAAGGACCTCCACAAGCTGGATCCAGCCTGCAGAGACCTTGTCGCTCCCTCACCCCCAGGCCAATCAAACACAAAGTTTCCTCCGCCCTGCAAGGAGCACACGGCACTTAGAAGCACCACATGCTGCTAGTAAGGTGGGAGAAGACTTTGCGCACCCCTCACCCCCAGGCCAGAGCCTAGGAGCCGGGGGGGGAGAGGGGGAGCGCATGAAGTTTCCTCCGCCTGAGGTGCCACCCCTTCCGATGCAGCCCAGGGCCACTTCAAACATTTCTGAAGTGGCCCCCGGTAAAAAGTTATTACCTACCCCTGTTGTAGATGGTAAGAGTTAGGATGACCAAATTTAATATGCAGCTTCCTCTTTTCTTAACTTGAAACAAGGTCAGGATTTGGTTGTGCCAGGAAAACAGGAAGTGCCTGGAATGGGACTGGTTTTCATAATATGGAAAGGGATTAAAATAGTCTTCCTGACTAGTGATTTAAATCGTGATTTAAATCAAATCCACCCTGCAGCCAAGGCAGCAACTATAGGGATGTAAGAGTAGTCGACTACCCGATAAGCATCTGTGTGAGAGGCAGGAAGAGGGGGAACAGGAGATGGTGCTGTGGGGAGCAGGCTTAAAAGATCTATCAGAGGCAGTGGGGGGGGGTAAGACAGACCTCCTATATTATTTATATGACACAGTTTGCATTTCTGGGGTCGGGAGAAGGGGCAGGGCAGGCTGCCATGAAGCAGCCTCTGCCTGTGGTGAGTTGAGGCTTGCCACAAGTTGAGGATGCTCCAGCAACAACTCCTGTTTCCAGCAGCTGGCTGGCCACGGACAAAGGCTGCTGCCGGAGCAGCTGCAAACAGGGGCTGCTAGACCTGGCACAAGCCAGGACTGAACAGTCTCAGCGTGTGCCAGTCTAGGGCTGCTGTGGCTCTGCATTTTAAATGCAGGAGCCACAGTGGTCCCGGAACGAGCCAGGACTCCTCAGTCCCAGGTTGCGGCAGGTCCATGAACTACCTCCACTGAGGCTCTGCGTTTTAAATATAGTACGAGCCAGGCATTTAAAATGCAGAGCTACAGCAGTCCCATCTGTTTTGGCTCGTGCTGGTCCAGGACCCTCCCCCCACTGCGGCTCTGCCATTTAAACGTAGTTGGAGCTGCGCTGCCTGTGCACCCGGCTCTTACTGCATTTAAACTGCAGAGCTGCAGCAGGGGTAGCTCCTGGCCCGGCGTGAGGATCGTGTAGCCAATATAAATTGTATCAACTACACAATTAGTCAATTACCCACCTCTTAACATCCTTAACAGCAATTGGAGTGGCTGAACACCTGTGAGTGCTGTTTCATGTGACATGAAGCAACAGTTTCCCAGATTGGTTCTGGAAACAAACCCAACAAAAGCCTAGGACCCCCAAAATAATGTGTGTTACTGACTTGGATAGTTTGATAATATAGCCTATGTTCGTATGCTTAAACTTAGATGTTCTAAGTTTTCATTCCATTTGCCATTACTAGGAGTGTAATGGTAAAATAGAAGCAGAATTGTATGTTACAACTACACTAATAACGTGTGCCCATGCAGCTGATCTAGGGGATCTTTCTGAGTAGAGAGAGTGACAGTGGCAAGAAATTTTTCCCCTTCATGTATCTTCTACAGCAATAAATGTAAAACTACAACAAAGCCAAACCCTTCCCCCCCCCTCCAACCTCCCTCCCCTACATCTTTCTGAGAAGCCGCTTTGGAGTGGAAGAAAGAGAACAGGACTCCCCCCCTCCAACCTTCATCCCCTACATCTTTCTGAGAAGCTGCTTTGGAGTGGAAGAAAGAGAACAGGAGGCAGCAGTTAAGCATCAGAGGACATCTAGAATGGTTCTAGTAGGTTCTTAAAAGGCCAGCAACAGACTGTAGCTAAGACAGGAGAGAGCTCTTACCTTATCACACAAATCAGAGCCTTCTGTCTTTAGCTTGGACTGCAGAGAGGATACTTCATTGGTAAGGGCCTTGTGCTCTGTCTCCAAGGTCTTCTTGCCACTGTTCAGAGTGGAGATGTCTCGTGACTGTTTGTACTTATTCACCGCTTCATCAAAATGGCGGTACAGCCCCAGTCTCTTGTTCACCAAGGTGAGAACTTGCTCGGTTATGCAGGCCACCTTCATCCTAGCTTCAGCAGCTGGATCCTATAAGGGGTGATAAGGTACACAGACAAGCACATATATAAAACCTAAATGGAGGCAATACCTTTCTAGCCATATTTGCTATGCAAAAGCATCACAGATCCCATATTTTCCAATTTAAAACCAACAGCTGTGAAAAGAATGCCAAAATGAACTTGGTCGAAGCATAAATGCTTCCGGTTACTGCCTAGCTCTGGGCTAATAAAAACCAAGAGGAAGAGACTCCCATAAAAGAGTAACAAACCAATTAGATTCAGATGTGCTTGCTGCCCAAGGCTGGAATGTTTTACATGGAAGCTAAAAACAGTATCCACCACATACCAAAACAAAACCAATAGGTTTCACAGTGCTCAGAAGCTACAGTGATAAGGGACCATGTAAGTACCTAAATAGGAATATTCCAACGGAAAGAACATTTAATAAAGAGAACTATTTCTACTGGAAATTTCCAAGCATAGGGGGAATAAAACTTCCCCTTCAGTCAGAAGGCTGCAACTTGCCAGACAGTACCTTGGTAATGGAGAAGTCAAGCCTCACATAGAAGATCACTGTGAAGAATAAGATGTAAAAGGCTCCAACCACCAACAGTGGTTCCTGCAGCATCAGGATCTTGTTGAAGGTGTAGTGCACCTACAAAATAGGATTCAGAGACTGAGACATGACTTGCTGTTAGTCAAGGGAGAAACTTCAAGCACCTGAATGTTCCTAAAAATAGTTATGACCAGAGAATGGATCCAGTGTGTAGTCAAGAGAACAGTCATATATGGGCTGCATCACAGTGTGTAACATCTTCCAGCCAAGAGAACTTCACATTGCATGTCATTCTTCAGGAACCCCTTAGCCCCAGACCAGATATCATTATGACTACAAAGGTTAGGGTGGAGGAGGTATGGCTGCTCATTTAAATTATTCAGAGAGGTCAAGCTTACCACAATGTCCTGGATGTGCTGCTCTACAAGGTTGTTCTTGTGTGCCACAATAACCGGGCGTCCAAATGTGTCCAAATAGGTGTAGTGGAGCTCATCAGTGGCTCGGTTGATTTCATATGGGCTGTCCACGTGAATATTCCTGCAGAAATAAACAGACATACCCACATGCTTCTATGAGGTCTGAGATGGGATTACTTAATATTTAATTGGCCAGTTGTGGCCCAGTACACCACTCATTTGCACACTGAAAACAAGTTCTCTGCAGTTTAAGAAGTAATGTATAATAAGTGATAGGTTGCTTTTCAAGGTGTCTTCTGCGCTCAAATTGGCTATCATTTCATGATGCTCTGATCCCAAGAGCCTACAGGAAACTTGGCCATCATAAATTGTCTATCATTTCATGATGCTCTGATCAAGAGCCTACAGGAAACTTGGCCATCAATGCAACTGGAAGCATTTTCAGCAGTAACAGCATAAGAGCAAAGTCACTTACTTGGCACCTTCCGGCAGGATTATCTTTACGATCAGAGAGTCTGCAACTTGCTCATCAAACACATGGTCAATGAACCTCATCTTCAGGGCATATTGGTCACCTGACAGAAGGCAGAAAGGACAGAAACATTTCCAGACAGTTTCACAAAATAAGTTTCCATGGGAAGGTTTCCCCACTGTCTGTGAATCTCGGCCTGCTAGAGGAGTGGAGCTGCATGCTCTCCTTAGAATAGGATCATTTGGCTCCCCTGAAAATGGCAGTTTTTAATCAGCAGTCTAGGGATACAGGAAAAGGCACATACTATCAGAAGAATGGCTTGTAAATTACAAAACTAGCAATAAAAGCTAAGGGTTACAAGGACACCATACTGTACAAATATTGTTTAACACAGTAAGCCTGGACTTTTGCTACCTGAACCCTGTGACACCCACCAAGGTTATAAAGGTATTCGTAGCTTGGCAGGTTGTAGCCAATGATGTAATGAGTCTTCCAACCCCCAAAAAGTGGGAAGCGAGGGCGAATCTCCATCTCCACAGAGTCATCCAAGATGAGAAGGTGGCTGGTAGAGATGTTTCCAATTTCATCTCGGTAATATACATCCTGAGCTGCAGCAGGAAGAATGGTCTACATGGGAGAGAAAAGAAGTGACATACTGTAAATCTTCAAAAGCATTTCATATTTCCACCTCATCCCTTGTGTGCTGTTGCCAAATAGGAGACAAAAGAAAGGGCAATAGGATTTTCTATAGGAAAGTGGTAAGAAAGACGACACAAAATGCAAACCTTAAAAGATTTGACAGATGATATTCCACTGTCTGGCTGCCTTTGATAGTCATATCTGGAGAAAGGCCCTTTGAGCACAGCTCCTGTGTGCTTTAAGTCAACAGTCTCTTCTACAGCAATATTTCCCCAGTGAGACACTTCAATGACCCGTATCATACTGGTGATGGTCAGGAACGGGCTGTTGTTTTCATAGTGTACCTTAAGGGTATCCTGAAAATGAAAGAAAATAAAATACAAATCCCAGCAAAGGAAGCAATTAAAACCCTGAGGGAGACAGGGGAAATAAAGGATTTCCCCTCCCTCAAATCCCAAAGTGAATCATTCCATTGTAATGAAGCCCATTGCAATGACCATCCCTTGGTCCCCTTTTTTTGATTTATAACAGCTGGTCACACAACAGAGTGTAAATGCATACAGCTCAAAACTGACACGTAAGCTGAAACTCAGCACGGACACTGTCGAAACATCAATTAAAGCACTTTAGCACAATTTCTAGCTGTTTTAGCTGATCAGGTGGAAGCAGGTGAATGGATTCACTAGGTTTCACAACAAGGAAAGTTAGCATAGGCAGATTGGAAGCCCTAAATACAGAGATTTCCCTTTCAATTAGTACAACTGCAGGTAGCAGAATTAATTGAGCTAACCAACAAATGCTCTGTTTGGACTGAAGGGAACCAGGGTTTCAGAGCAAAAGAGTTAGAGACTAGTAACAATCCCTCTGACTAAGGTTATGTCTACACTAGCATCTGAATGACAAAAGTTGTCATTCAGAAGTGCTAACCTTTCTACTCCACAAACAACAAAAATTTAGCTGCGGCAAGTGCTAATGTAAACAGTACATTGTCCACAGGAGCGCTCTCTTGCCGACAACATGAATCCTGCTCATTGGGGGTGTAAGTATTTTGCTGGCTAAAGTGCCTACCATCAATATTTACACTGCCAGATTTTTAGCAACACAACTGCGTTGCTAAAAGCCATATAGTGTAGACAACACTGAAGTAGTCCATATCCTGCTATCAGCACCCCATTATAAACAAGGTCATCTGACCCATGTATTACAATGCACCATTCCTTTGGGCCCACACATGCACCATCATAAGAGTAACTGTGTTCCTGACATAGTTCCTACTGGAACAATTAGTGATGGATGAGTGAAATTTGATAGGAAAAATAGATGTTCAGGTGCTTGGCTTTACACAAGCAATGTTAAAGCAAACTCTGAATCTTGCAGTGAGAATACTGATACTGCATGAGAGTACTGATACTGCATATTAAGGACAATATGTACAAAACAACTAGGGTTGTTTATTAACAAAAAGTCTTCTCCATATTATCCCATGAGCTTCCTTCAATATTATAGATTCAGAGTAACAGGTGCTTGCCCCTCAGCATGTTACTACAACTATTTCCATTTGTATTTTTTGAGTCAATTTAGCATGGCTGATTTGACGCCCTTAGACTGAAGTCCTCTCAGTGTACTCAGAGCATGTATAGCAAAGGCAGATGCAGTTCAAGCTCTCCCCATACCATCCCCTGACATCTGTGCCCTGGCAGCCTTAACAGAAAGGCCAAGTCCAGAGACAAGTTAAGGCCAATTGTGGTGGTATTGTGCTCAGACACTTACCCATAAGGAACTGGACTGAGAAATACCAATTCAAATTCATGTAGGACACTAGTTTTCAGATACTTGCCACCATCATAATTCAGGGTGAATCTGTGACCTCATGGGAAATGCCTCTGTATCTTTCTGAACTCCACGAGCCATAATTGACATTTATGTGGTACACTTTGCAGGACAATTTATTTTCAAGAACCTTTCAGCCAGGGTTTCACTAGCCACAAGAGCTTACCTGGCTGTATGGTGGGATGTCCTTGAAGGGCCCATATTCAATCATGTCCTCTGACCGGGTGGGATTGCCCAGCTTCGTGTAGCTCTCTACATTCCTGGAGGCCAGTTTCACACGTGTAGTTTGGGTCTTGGTTGGGTATGGCGAGTAGAAATAATGATTCCCTTCAAAGACCACAAACTGTTTCTCCGCCTGTGTGATGTGCGTGGGGTACGGCTGCAGAACATGCGTGAAAACTGTTTCAATGGATAAACGGATCTTGGCACCTGGTGTCAGAGGAGATGGCAACTTCACAGTGAAGAATTTGCCACTGAAAGGGAGAACAGGAGGAATACCATAAACACCAAGATCTCTGCTGGCCTGACATACACTCTTAAGCCCCTGCAACACACACTGGTGCAAAGGCGAACCTGGAATTTTTCTATTTGCTCAAAAAGGGCTCCTTCCTACAGAACTGAGAGTGCCATACAAAAAGCTAGGGATGTAAAATCCCAGTTAACCAGTTAAACTTTAGGTTTAATCTGTTAACTAAGTGGGATCCCGCCCCCCCGCCACACACACACAGGAGGGGGTCAGCAGCAGACGCCACCAGCCCCATGGGGGGAAGAGAGGGAGAATGAGACACAGCTACTGCTCGTGGCCCCTGTGGGGCTGAAGCAGCCCTCCCAGGTACCAGTTAACCAATACCTGGGTAAACATCACCCAGTAAGGTTACCCGTTCACATCCCTACAAAGAGCCTTGCAGGATCCGGCCCAAAATAGCTTTCTGCAAGTGGCCTAGTGTTTATTCCTCAGGAGATTTCTGTTCCACTGTGTGGGTACATTTATATATAAATGTTGAAGGGATAGTCTATAATTGAATATTATTTGGCACAGACCTCAATGAATGCTCAAAGGGAATCAAGCCATCAGGTTTAAAATGCCATGTGTGTGATGTTTTCAGGACAGTACTGGTGCATTCCTTTTAGGGAAGTAAAATACCATTTAATCAGTTAACTGTTTAACTGTAGAGGCCCCCTTTCCCCCCGCCAGGCAATCGGAACAGTCAGCTGTTTACAACTGTTCAAGCTCCGGGGTGGGGCGGAGTGTGGGGCCAGAGCGTGAATCAGGCAACTTGTAGCACTTAAAGGGCTGGGAGGGAGTAGAAGGAGTAGGAAGTGTGGGGCTCCAGTGCCCTGTGGGGCCAGAGCATGAATCAGGAAACTTGTAGCACTTAAAGTGCTGGGAGGGAGTAGGAGTAGGAAGTGTGGGGCTCCAGTGCCCCTGTGTGCAAGAGGCATATTGGGGAGAGGACATATAGGGCCGCAGATGGAATCCCAGTGGGCCACGAGCTGCTACGGCCCACTGAGATGAAGGAGGGGCATTTTTGCAACTCACTGTTCATGGCTGCTGTAAGCTATCTGATTTATTTGAGCAGCCAGCACAGAGACCTAGAACTATACATGGGCCCTCCCAAAGGTGGTGGAGTTTTTTTGCAACAGAAGAGCTCCTGGAGTTTGCAGAATAGTAATAGAAATGTAGCCTTGTTAGTCTGGTGTAGCTGAAGCAAAATGCAGGACTATGTAGCACTTTAAAGACTAACAAGATGGTTTATTAGATGATGAGCTTTCATGGGCCAGACCCACTTCCTCAGATCAAAATGGAGTTTGCAGTGAGGGATCAGATCTGGGGTTCTGCCAGTGTGTGTTAACTGTGTTCTCAAAACTGCCACATGCTTTGGCGTGGAACATAATAAGATGGGTATCTGCAAAAACAGAGGACACCAGACCAACCTTGAGATTTGTTGTAGGAGTTGCATGATGAATTGTTTAAGCCTTGGACCTGCTCCTTAGACTTACATCTCTTTTGTTTCTGCTATTTTTCTACTGAGGAGGTCGAATTTGAATAGGCAAGTTACAAGTATTGGTCCCCCAAAAGAACTGCTCCCTGGTATTTGGCACTGCAGGGTAAAACTCACCTTTTACCTTTCACCTTAGACTCCCGCACCTCCAAGGTGTTGTCCTCCTCTTCCTCACCTTTCACCTGTTTCATAACAAAACATTTCAGATTGATCACAATTTAGGCTTCCCTAATGAAACAAATGCAGTTATCAGGTCAAATACTACACAATTCCTATTCATTTATTAATGGAAAGGACACAACTCATTAGATGACACACCATTATTTATTTAAAAACCCAATATCTATTAGCTTTGCAATCATTAACACTGGCCATCTCAACAAAATGTGATCCATATCCAGGAACAGAAAAGTGGAGGCTCCCGTTGAACTTTTGGAAGCTTCTGCCAGTGTCCTAAGCCGATTCTAAAACTAGCAAAGACATGGAACTGACTGTCTTCCACTGGTTGACCCTACTCCTCCAGCAGGTCTTTCTACAGACCTTCTTTCACTGGAGTGCCCAGAAGAGTGGCTAACAAGTGAAAAACAAAGACTGGTACAACAGTCTCATTCTGTTGTCATCAGAAAACAGACTATAGCTACTCTCTCAAACCTCTTGAGGAAAAGAGCACTGGGTTGATAGCCCTAGGATTGGGGACTCAAATCTTGTAAGCATCCACAGCACAAATGCAGCACAGAAGATGTAAGCTTTCCCTATGGACTTCTGGGTCCTGCTCCAAAATCTGTCCTTACTGCTCTGGATGGACCACATTTAGATGATGTAAATGAGAGATTGATTAGTATCATTCTAAATGTCTCATTACCTTTTGAGAATTTGCAAGCAAAGTTACCCTGTCTTCTTGTTTCACAATCATAATAATGGCCTTTTAGTACTGTAGCTTAATTATTTGTAGAGCACCAAGAGCATCCTAAGAACTTACAGACATCTGATGATAACAACCCTCAATCACTATCAACTTGAGCTGGATTTGAACAGAGGACCTAGAAGTCTCTGTATCCTAGCACCAAGCCACTTGAGTGCTATCAAAACCATCACACAGAATGTGCCTAAAGCCTTTGTTTCAGTACCACATTAACATGCTGGACCAAAGTCTGTTCTGTTTCACCAGCATATCTGGAGTAACCCTTCTGAATTTTTGCTCTCATTAAAGATCATATGCTGGCATAGAATAATGATTTATACTTTGCACTGCAGCGGTGCCAAGCTGTTGTCCAAGCATGTACAACTCAAGAACCTGAAAACAAAACTTAGAGCAAAGCAGAACACAACCGTTTGTGTTTCAGTGGCATTCTACTGATGATCTCTATTACTTTAAATCCCACCTTCATTTTTAAAGCATTAAGCTATTATTCCAATATTTTGCCCTTTTGTAGTATACATTGGGTAATTTCAAAGGCTTAGGACTTACATCTCACGCTCTGAGGTAGGGACAAGGAGTCCTGTGGCACTGTAAAGACTAACAGATTTATTTTAGCATAAGCTTTTGTGGGCAAAAACCTACTTTGCCAGACACATGGAGGTAGGGAAATGTTATCTTTTAGAGTAGGGGAAAATGAGAGAGAGTAGTGAAGTGATACAGTAACTCAGTTGAAGAGCTGGAATCAAAGCCCTAGAGTCCTGTCCCCCAGCTCCTTGCACAGCCAGCTGCTATTCATAATCACTCCCCACTAAGTACTGTAAGCGAAGTAGAAGATAGGAAGTGGATGAAAGATGTAGGCAGCTGACAGTTGCCCATTCAGGCTCAGGGCTCGCCTCCCAAACTTCAAGCCACACAAAAAGACGAACCCAAACAACTGCAATGATATAAATGTTACCTGTCAAATCACTCCCCAACCGCATAACAAAACCTCTCTGCCCACGCCAAACACGAACATTTAAATCCACCCTAGAAGAGCAGGCAGGGTCCCGACTAGAAAAGGCATCGGGAAATTGCCGAGGAATGAGCCGGTGTGAGAAGCTGGACGGATCTCACGCAAGTGGCCGGCGGCGAGCATGCAGCATGCCTGCCGTAGGGGACAAACACCCAGGGCAGGTTTGTGCAGAGCCGCCTCTCGGATTTCTCCATTTTCCCCGCGGCGCGGTTAGTGGTTGCATTGCAACGGCGGCCGAGGCCCTTATGCTTACGTGTCAGTCCCCGCCAGGAGGGAAGCGGCTGTCACTGGCCCCATCCGCTCAGTGCCACAGGCAGGAGAAGGGACAGCGGCCGGCCGGGGGAAGGGGCCGGCGCTGCCCTGCAAGACGGAGCTGCCCAGGCGATGCTCCAGCTGGGCAGGCCGGGCCCCTCGCACGCCGCGGAGGTTTCCACCCTGCAGCGAGGGGCGCGCTGTGCTCCCCAGCTCCTCGCCGCCCGCACCGGGGAAATGGGTCCG